CGGTTCACCTATTGGTTCTCTCACCTCAGCGTGCACGCCGTAGCCCCGCATGACGGAAACGATTTCTGTCGGATTGTTGTCCTCCACAGCCACCATGTAGAAGAAGCCGCCCGGACTTAGGATCTCCTGGAATAAGGGCAGGGATGGTGACGGCATCACATTCTGCCATCGATGTCAATTGGCCACACTCTTGTGCTGCAACTCTCAGCTCTTATCCCCGAAGCCAAGGCTCCTCCCCCCAAGACATTGCGGGACCAGGCGGGCCGTGCGAATGCCGAAGATCGGGTTGAAGTTTGTACCAGCCGGCTCTCTAATGCAAACCCCAAGCATTGGGCAAGCCTCGCTTCCTATTGTGCATATCCAGAGTAAGGCTTAAGCTTTGCCTGCTTGAAGACTGCGTGCCATTCGCCATGGGTGGAACTCTTTCCTCAACACTTCGTTAGAGACGTCGCATTCAGCGTCTGTAGGAGTAGTGGAGTTGGTCCGCACGTGCAATTGTGCTACACGTGACGCCTTTCGCTTGCGAGACACACTCTGTGTGTTTCTAGTCCCGCCGATCCGAAACCCGCCGCACCTTAACTGCCGGTAGAAACCTGTCTATGACTTCTCGTCCCCGTTCACCTCCTGCCCAGGCGGCTGCAATATCCCTGCAAAATCTCGCGGCGACGCAGCGTGCCGACAATAATCGCCGCGAAAAAAAAGCACGTCGAGAAGGCAAGAGGGCAGACAAGAGTCGAACATATATCCGCAGAGATGCACGCAAGTCAGGACAAACGTGTCGTTGAGAAAAGACACAGACTGGCGGCACACGACTCCGCCGTCAAGAAGGAGGTCCGCCAGCTGGATAGAACAATCGACAGAGTGACTCCTCCTGTATTTCAACCCCTGCCTACCCGGTGTTCTTCACGTGTAACTCGTCCCTCAAGAAGGCACTTCTGCTCAGCGGGGGGACATCCACCCGTCAACAATGGATGCAAGACACCAGGGGGAACACACGACGTAAGTTTCCGCTACTGAACAAAGATCGTGTTAAGCCCAGCCATCGTCACCGCCCACCGCCAATAGTCAAGCAACACTATCTGCTGAGCCAACTACCGTAGGTTACATAAGATATCACACCCCCTGAGTCGATTTTCAAAGCTTCATTACTCGGCTGGGAAAGCAGTGACGGTGAAAACGGCGGAGTTGGGAACCGTTCCGTCGAGAGCTTTCCGAACACCTATCGTTTGCCTTCGGTGTCCTCTTTGTCGTGGAGAAATCGAGCTTTGAAAATCGGTCCAGGGGGGTGTGGTATCTTACGCAACCTACGGTAGCGCTTAGATTATTCATGGTTGCAGCAATACCCGGTCATATCCCCCTTCCACCTTTGCTGTGGCATATATGGTTTGGCACAGCAAAGGCAAGCATGATGGCCAGCTTCTGATTCATCCTTAGAACGTAGCCCGGCCCGTCGAAAATCCGGCATATCGCTCTGTCCCGGCATACGAGGCCAATGGTCTAACGACTACGGCATGCATGTACATGAGTACGCCCCCCCCCCCCCCCCCCCCCCCCCCCCCCCCCCCCCCCCCCCCCCCCCCCCCCCCCCCCCCCCC